CATTAGCCATCAGAGAGATGCAAATCAAAACAACAATGAGATACCATTTTGCCCCAGAACTTGTAGCAAAGTTCAATGAGTAGAAGATAACAAATGCTGCCAAGGATGAGGAGAGATTGGGACTCTCATACACTATTGGTGGGACTGTCAAATGGTACAACCACTGTGGAAAGCAGTATGGCGAGTCCTTAAAAAGTTGAAATTAGAAGTACCATTTGACACAGCCATTCCATTACTAGGTATATATCCTAAAGAAGTGAAAGCCAGGACAAGAACAGATATATGCATACCCATGTTCATCGCAGCACTATTTAAATAGCCAAAAGATGGAAACAACCTAGGTGTCCATCAGCTGCAGAATAGATAACCAAACTATGGTACATACATACAGTGGAATACTGTGCAACCCTAAAGAATAATGTAGAATCTGCAAAACACCACATGATGTGGATGAACTTGGAGGACATTATGCTGAGTGAAATAAGTCAATCACAGAAGGACAAATATTGTATTAGTCCATTATTGTAAAAAGTCAAGGAAAGGTTTATATATATAAGGAAATTTTCTTTGTTGGTTACCAGGGGTGGGAGGGGAGAGTAAGGAACACTGTTAGTAGGTAGAGACAAGTATTGATATGGGTGAAGAGAAAGGCAGTGTACCAAATGCGAGTGATCAACACGGTGGCAATGAGAAAGAGGAAGACATAGAGAGGTGCATGGGAGGTACAGACAACAAAGATGAACCATTTTGCACATACAGGACTGTGTTGTCAGTGAAAGCAAACATGGATATAAGGGTAGATAGATGGGTGGACAGACTGAACTATTATGCAAGTCTGTGCAGGGGGTAGTGTGCCCAAGACTATGTGTAGGGTTGGCAGACAGTGTTTCTATGAGTGTATTGGTATGTTCTGTAAGATTTCCCAAATATATAGTAGAGCTGACAAGGGTCAAGGTTCTAGTCACTACTTGGCCACAGCCAGCTACCCAGAGGGAGTGAGTAGTTGGACCTGTGGGATCGTGACCATTGTCACAGGGGACATCAAGCTCAACTGGCATAACATACTAACACATAACACTTAACATACTACACAAAATGTTCCACATACTACTTTGGCGAGTAGAGAGTGGGAGCTTAAAAGCTTGCAAACAGCCATATAGATGCAACGATGGGTCTCTCCTCATCCAGAGCAAAGAAGAACAAAGAAAACCAAAGACACATGGAAACAATTAGTCTAAACAACTGGTACACCATGCTATCCTCAGCCTATACAACTATGAGATCAGAAGAACTAGATGGTGCCTGGGTACCACTGTCAACCACTTGGAGGGGGATCTATGTAGGAGATCCTGAATAGAGTGAGAGAACAATGTGGAACAAAACTCAAAATCATTTGGCAAAAAAAAAAAAAGTGACCAGTTTTGCTGGTCTGATAGAGCCTAGTGGAGCCACTGAGATTATGACCCTTAGCTGCCCTTCCGGTCTGGAATTGAACCCACACCTGTGGCTTCCAGCCAAACAAAAGACAGGGATATGAGGTGAACATTTATAGTAGGGAGATACACTCCTTGGAGAGAACAATCATGGTAGAATAGAAGGGCTGTTCATGCACAGGGAGGCAGCTCAGGGAGCAGGAGTGCATAGGAGGGAAGGACACAGGGAAGAGGTAACTATGGGGAGGAAGTGGGAGGGGAGCTGTTGCATTGATATGCTTTCTGTAGTCAGTATCATGAGACAAAGCGCATATGAACTGCTGTATGGAAAATGAATTTGTTCTGTAAAGTTTCACCCAAATCATAAAAAAAAAAATGTATAAAGAGCTCACTATTCATAAAGTTTGAAAAAATTATCAGTGAAATATTTTAAGTTTCCAAAAAGGATTGTAAAAGTTCTTATTTGTATATATTTTACTATATAAGATCAGCATTAAAGAATTTAAGATTAAAGCTCTATGTACTAAGTCTTATACTGTTTATGTTAATGATAGAGCAAATAAGAACCAACATAGCTGTCCGAAACAGGGAAATCTGTACTTCAGGATGAAGAAGTTGAACTCCTAGAAGTGAAGTCACTTTTCTCAGGATCTTGCAGAACCAAACCCATTTCTGTTGAGTTGATTCCAACTCATAGCAACCCAATAGGACAGAGGAGAACTTTCCTGTTGGGTTTTCAAGGCTGTAAATCTTTATGAAACAGACTGCCACATCTTTATTCTGTGGAGGTGCTGGTGGTTTCAAATCTCTTGACTTTTTGGTTTGCAGCTGAAAGCTTTAACCACTGTGCCATCAGGGCTCCATTCTAGGGTCATAGGGCTGGTACATGTCTTGAGTCAAAATCAGCATGTTCTTTTCATTAAACCACTTAGTGGACAACCTAGTCAATAAGATCAGAGGCTATGAAGTGACTTAAAAAGTAATAGCTTGAAAATATGCCTCTGGCAAGTGAAAAACTTAGATAAAATTGGGCAGTTATTACAATTGTAACTTAGTTATGGTACATTTAAGGAGCTCTGGTGGTGTAGTGCCTAAGTCATTTGACTATTAACCAGAAGGCTGGCAGTTCAAACCCACCAGCCACTCCGTGGAGCAAAGACTGGGCACTCTACTTCTATAGTGATACTGCTTTGGAAGTCCAAAAGAGGTTGCTATGAGTTGGAATCCACTTGATGGTGGCGAGTTTGGGTTTTTTTGAAGGTATGTTTGAATAAATAGATAAGAGGAAAATATTTTGAAGATTGTAATGCTTGTATTAGGCTGGTGGAATTTTGTTGTTATTAGGTGACATCCAGTCAGCTCTGACTCAGAGAACTCTTTGTACAACAGAATGGATTCTACAACAGGTGGGATTTTAGGTGCCGTTTTTTTCTTTGTTTTCTAAAATGTTTATTGTGGCTAATTACTTTCGAACTCAAGTATTAGAGTAGTATCACTTTAGGTCTCAATCAGTGTATATGGAAATCTTAATATTTTTGATACACTTTCTGAAAGCTTGTATGACCATTTCAGCTCATGTTCATGTTTGTAAAAATTTCAGATCATCAAGTTATTGGATGGAAAACGATCTCAAACTGTGGGGATCTTGATATCTAGTTTGCATCTAGAAATGAAGGATATCCAGCAGGGTAAGTCTTCTCCCTAAATTTTTTACCAGCTTTTAAATTTTTAAACATGTTATTTTGAAAATTTTCTAACATAATACAGAAAATGTTAAAATGAACCTATATCGTAATGTGTTCTGTGTACCTAATACCCAGCTACAAAATCACCAACTCATCTTGTTTCATCAAAGAGTCTTACCCTCAACTGGATTCTTATGAAGTAAATCCCATACCATCTGTTAAAAATGTTAGTACTATTTCTAAAAGATAAGGATACTTTTTCAAATACTGGCAAATACCATTATCTTGGTTCTGAAAATGTTAGCAATAATTTCTCAATATCATTAAATGTGTACTTAATGATATTCTAATTCTAGTTCTAATTTCTAGAATTAGAATTAGAATTTCTAGAATTAGAACTAGAATATTCTAGTTCTAATTTCCAATTGTCCATATATTCATTATTATCCATTCACTTACATTTGATTTGAATGAGATTGTTTTGGTTACCTAGTGCTGCTCTGACAGGAATATACCACAAATGGGATGGCTTTAACAAACAGGAATTTATTCTCTTAAAATTTTGGAGGCTTTAAGTGCAAGTTCAAAGTACCAGACTTTAGGGACTGGGTGAAAGCCCCTTGACCTTGGACTTCATCTCTGCCTCTTGCTCCTGGCCCACTGAAGCTAGCGGCATCTCTTCATCCAGGCACCTGCTAACTGCTGAGGCTGACAAACTCCTACCAGATTACTGGGTGGGACCATGTGTTTAAAGTCCTGATTGTTAAAGTCATCCACCAGGAGTATTTCTGTTGGAACAACAAGTAATCTAATGGGAAAGTTTACTCTCTCTCAGGTGTGTAGAACTCTGATGTTGGGATTGGTTGGTTTTACCACTCTGTCAGGCTCAAAATAAGCCCTCCTAGAGGCAGAAAGAATCTTTCACTGCTGACTAAGAGAGACGTGCTGCTGAGAGAAAGACTGAGAGAGACTGCCAGCTGAGAGAGATTGAATGTGTTCCTGAACTTGAATTGTAGCCTGTAGCTTCCCTAACAAATCCCATAATCTGTGAGTTCTGTGTGGCCACTGCAGTGAGTTATTGAACCCAACAGAGAGGTGGTGGGTGCTGTGAGAGGGAAGGTTGGTGTCAAGGTTGGTAAGAGGGCTGGAGGGTGGTGGCATGTTTAGCCTCATAGGAATGGGCGTTGGGCTGCTGATGGTGATTCTGTCTTCTTCTTGTGCGGTTACAGGAGGTCAAAAGATGCCACCTCCCTGCCCCTTTAGCATCCACCAATAAGAACCCAGAGGCAACCTACTCTGCCAGTAAGCCATGGCCTTGAAAGTACTCACTCTTGAGTCAGCAAGCCTAGCTCTGTTGACAAATGCCTGGAGGTATCTCACTCTGCTAACATGAATCCTGCCTGAAGGAGCTCAGCTCTTTTGCCCCATGGAACAAGAAATCCAATGTGCTATCTCTTGTCAGCAAGCAGGGCTGATTTTTAGGTTAATTCTTAGGTCTTAACATCACTTGGAGGAGCTCTGGTAACGTAGTGCCTGAGGCACTTGACTGCTAACCAGAAGGCTGGCAGTTCAAACCCACCAGCCACTCCTCGGAAGGAAGGTTGGGCAATCTTCTTCCTTAGTGATACCACCTCAGAAACCCAAGGAGGGTCACTATGAGTTGGGTCCAACTCGACAGCACATGATGTTAGTGATGATCTTTGCTTAGATCCATTATTTCATTAGAAATTTAGAAAATAATGTACTAATTCCATCATTTCTTCTTCACTAGCTGGATTACTTCTATGAAAAGACACTTCTTCAACTATTTGGCTGTGTCATTGTTTCTTAATTGTTGTTGTTATTAGGTGCTGTTGTGAAACTCTGACTCATAGCGACCCTATGTATAACAGAAAAAAACACTGCCCAGTCCAGCACCAGCCTCCCAATCCTTGAAATGCTTGGGCCCATCATTGCAGCCACTGTGTAAATCCATCTCATTGAGGGTCTTCCCCTTTTTCAGTGACCCTCTCTACTTTACCAAGCATAATATCCTTCTTCAGGGAGTGGTCCCTTCTGACAACATGACCAAAGTAGGTGAGACAAAGTGTGGTCATTCTTCCTTCTAAGGACCATTCCAGCTGCACTTCTTCCAGGACAGATTTGTTTGTTCTTCTGGCAGTCCATAATACTTTCAGTGTTCTTCACTAATACCATAATTCAAAGGCATCAATTCTTCTTCAGTCTTCCTTATTCATTATCCAGCTTTTACATGCATATGAGATTATTGAAAATACCATGGCTTGGGGTAGGTGCAACTTAGTTGTCAAAGTGACATCTTTGCTTCTTAACACTTTAAAGCGGTCTTTTGCAGCAGATTTGCCCAGTGCAGTATGATGTCTGATTTCTTGATTGGTGTTTCCATAGGTGTTGATTATGAATCCAAGTAAAATTAAATCTTTTGACAGCTTCAGTCTTTCTCCATTTATTGTGATGTTGCTTATTGGTCCAGTTGTGAACATTTTGTTTTCTTTATGTTAAGATGTAATCCATACTGAAGACTATAGTCTTTGATCTTCATCAGTAAGTGCTTCAAGTCATCTTCACTTTCAAAAGATTGTATCATCTGCATATTGCAGGTTGTAAATGAGTCTTCTTCCAATCCAGATGCCATGGTTTTCTTCATATAGCCGAGCTTCTCAGGTTATTTACTCAGCATACAGATTGAATAAGTATGGTGAAAGGATACAGCCCTGATTATACCCTACCTGATTTTAAGCCATGCAGTATCCCCTTGTTCTGTTTGAACGACAGCTCTTGGTCTATCTACAGGTTCCTAATAAGCATGATTAAGTGTTCTGGAATTCCCTTTCTTTGCAGTGTGATCTATAATTTGTTATGATCCATGTAGTTGAATGCCTTTGCATAGTCAGTGAAACACAGGTAAACATCATTCTGGTATTGTTTGCTGTCAGCCAAGATCCATCTGACAACAGCAGTGATATTCTTCATTCCATGTCCTCTCGTGAATCCAGCTTGAATTTCTGGAAGTTCCCTGTCAATATACTGCTGAAACAGTTTTTGAATTATCTTCAATAAAATTTCACTTGCATGTGATATTAATGATATTTTTTTAATAATTTCCACATTCTTTTGGATCACCTTTGTTTGGAATGGGCACAAATATGTGTCTCTTCTAGTTAGTTGGCCAGGGAACTGTCTTTCAAATTTCTTGACATAAATGAGTGAGTGCTTCCAGCACAGCATCCATTTGTTGAAATATCTCAGTGGGTATTCATCAATTCTTGGAGCCTTGTTGTTTTGCGAGTTCCTTCATTGTGGCTTGGACTTCTGCCTTCAGTACCATTGGTGCTACATCCTGAAATGGTTGGATGTCAACCAATTCTTTTTGGTACAGTGACTATGTATTCCTTCCATCTTCTTTTGATGTTTCCTGTATCATTCTGTATTTTGCCCATAGAAGCCCTTCAGTATTACAAGTCAAGGCCTGATTTGTTTCTGTAGTTCTTTCAGCTTGAGAAATGCCAAGCATGTTCTTCCCTTTTGATTTTCAAATTCCAGGTCTTTGCAGTTTCATTGTAATACTTTACTTTGTCTTCTCAAGCCATCCTTTGAAATCTTCTGTTCAGCTTTTTTACTTCATCATTTATTCCATTTGCTTTAGCTACTCTCCATTCAAGAGCAAATTTCAAAGTTTTTTCTGACATCCATTTTGGTCTTTTCTTCCTTTCCTGTTTCTTAATTACATGCTCCCTCCACCTTTTTAAAATGAGAGTATTTCTACTTGGTTATCTTTGGCTCAATTTTAAATAAAAGACATTTTAAAAGAAGAAATTTTACTTGTATTTATTTTTGTTAGTCTCTTGAAAAGTGGACCAATAGTCATCCTACTTTTTTGAAATCTGTATCTTGCATGAAAACCATACTTCCCTTTCTTAATAATCCATTAAATGTAAATCTTTATTTTGACCTGTCACTTATAATATCTTCTGAGTTGTAATACAATCTCTCTTAGGTGGTTTCAGTAGAATTAAACATGGATTTAACAGTGGAAAGTCTCTGAAACCACACTGACCTTTAGGTTTCAATCTATGTTACCTGAATATTATTTTATTCTGGTATACAGCAGACTTCCGTAGATTCAAAACCAAAAGACTTGTAACATATTTTCACATACTATTTTTCCTTTCAATGGAGTGTTTCCCTCTCTACCTTCAGCACTTAAATTTTGGTACATTACAAACTTTACAAATTCCACATAAAATCTAAAATATACTAAATTAGATGATAATAAACAGATCTAATTTCAGTATTTAAAATCGGTATTAGAACTTAATAGGTAAGTGTGAATATTAAGCCTCAAAATATGTTTCTAGTAGTTGTTCTGAGTTTGGGGCAAAGGACAAAAAGTTCAACCCAGAAGAATCTTTCAGTAACTTTAGTTGTTATATCTTCTAGATGAAATGAGTTTCTGGTGAACTCAAACCAGGAGAGAGTGATAATGAATAAAGAAAAGATTGGTGGGGGGGGAAGCAAAGAATCTAGACAGAGGGCCTTATGATTATTTGGGGAGGGACTAATTTTTTCAATGTAGGTGTTGAAATTAGAAAGAGATTCTTGAGACATAGCGGCAGATTCTCTCCCTAAACAATAACTATTCATGAAATCCAGCGTAACCCTGTGGATACGAGTCTTCACAATGGAACATCATGTTAGACTTTATTAACATCATATTGCTCTTTTTAAGGAGCACTGATGGTGTAATGGTCAAGAGCTCAGTTGCTAACCAAAATGTTGGCAGTATGAATCCAGCCAGTAGCTCTATGGGAGAAAGCCTGACGACCTGCTCCTGCAAAGTCTAGAAAGCCTTGCTCATGGGGTTGCTATGAGTCAGAATCTATTCAGCATCACCTGACAGCAATGACAAGAGCCATTCTTGTAAGGCATGTTCTGCTGCAGTACATCAGACCACCCCATGGAAAGAGTGATCCCAGCCACGTGGT